ACACCAGCCTGTCCTCAGTTCCAGTTCCAGTTATGAAAGTTTCATCTCCCATTTGGAGAAATCAGCCTGGCTGGGCATATGTGTGGTATCCAACTGCTAATGCTACTTTTCAAGTCTATTGAGTTGTCTCCATGTGGACATGAAAGACTTATTATCGTATTGATAACTTCACCGTATATCTAGAAAGCAAAATTAATTTGCCCTGATGAACATATGAGTTGATCACTGATTTTATGTTTCATTTAGCTTCACTTTAGAATTCCTTTAAGGATGGTTTGCTCCCAAGGGGATGTGCCTAATAAAGGATATAACACAGTAATCCAATAATAACTCATTTTGGAGGCCCAGCAATGGCAAGGAAAATAAACAGTCACAAAATCTAGATTAAGAGAAAGCCAATAAGAAAAAAATAGATGATTGGAGTTCTCCAGATGGCCTGCAATAAACCTATGTGATAAGACTTGGGTTCACTACTGACAAGGATCTTTCTGTTTTAACATGCAAACCTAATGGAAATTATGCTTGAGATTAATTATGCTTAAGCTAATGTTGTATGGGGCAACTATTATAATTACTGCATAACTACTACACTATAACCCTGTTACTGAAAATGTGTCAGATGCGGTCTTACATTTTGTTATGCCAAAACAGGAACCAAGCCTGTTGAGATGACTTCTGCTGTATCAATCTGCTTGCTTATTACAATTATCAATAAAAGTCCATCTTGTTGTTCAATGTCCTCTGAATATTCATTTTGCAACAACTAAGAGAAAGCTCTTTTCATAGAAATCTCCTACGAAAAGATCCAGACAGCACCAATCCAGCAGGTGGAGAGAAACATGACATAAAGGGTTTTATTCACGCTGACATTTTACCATTTGTGATAGTTCTATTCTGCTACACATGGCCACTGACACACATATGCACAAACTAACTCATTATTTTGTAAGTTTATGCTTAATTGCATTTTAGGGTATGTAAATTGTATTTTCAAGTTTTATAGTGCTTGGAGTTATTGCATAACAGGTGGCATACATTATACATACTAAAAATAATTATGGGGGAGAGAGAGAGAGAGAGAGAGAGAGACAGAGACAGAGAGAGACAGAGAGAGAGAGAGAGAGTTTGGAATAGTGGTTAAGGCACCAGGCTAGAAAGCAGGAGACTGTGAGTTCTAGTCCTGCCTTAGGTACGAAGCCAGCTGGGTGACCTTGGGCCAGTCCCTCTCTCTCAGCCCTAGGAAGGAGGCAATGGCAAACCACTTCCAAAATCTTGCCAAGAAAACTGCAGGGCAGTCACCAGGAGTCGAAATATATATATATGCTATAAAAGTAGGTATATATTATATATACCCCAAAAATGTGATCATGGTCCCTAACTTACTTGCATGCTTGCTTATTGTTCTATTTAGAATTTTTACTCTGTACTAATCAGTTTTCCCCTGGTAGGCTCAAGGTAATTTTCAGTTTAAAATTCTGAAGGAACTAATATGCCAGATGTTCCCACTGGTGTCTTCACAATGACTGCAAAATGACAGTACACTGTGGACATCCAGAAATGCTCCTTGATCTTGGATTGTCCTCCTTGGTCTTGAAATGAATGACATGAAAATCTGCATAATCACATGACCCTTAGTAACGAACGCAGCGCTGCCCAAGGTACAATTTATTATAGTGGAAACTGTAGGAAGGTTTTGTCCCTATGCAGGGCTTCCTATATCACACACTCATTCCAGGAAGTGCTAGAGAAGGGAGAAAATTGCAGTGCCTCTAGTTTTCTAAATATAATTTATGAGCAAGGCTTGATCCTTCCTGTGACAACCTGAACTTCATTTCCATAGAGATATATAATACATTTTATTTCTCACTTAGTTGTACTCCTAAGAAGTAAACAGCCCATTCTGGATTCTAGAAGAAGACGGTGATGATGATGACGACGACAACCAAGATGATGATGTTGATGATAATAACAATATATTACAGTTTGAAATCTTGAAACAGAACTTTAAGTAACTCATATTCTAGTTTTTTGGTTTGGTTTTGTATTGGCATCTAAAATCCCCAAAGGGGTTTCTTGGTCTCTGTCTCAGATGACTTGATCTCCTTGGTGGAATGATTAGACAATGCTGATTTTTTTTTTTCTTATAAATCAAAAATGGTCTTCAGAGCCTTTGATGAGGAATGTGTATCTTCATTACTGAGTACAAATTGAGTGTAGAAATTTAGGGATGAGACATAAGGACATTTATTTTGGGGTCAATCCTGCATCAACCTGGCATCAGGAAGAAAGAAATAGTTTATCAAACATCACTTTTAATAAGGGTCTATGAAAAAGATGTTGTGTTTCCTTCAGTAAAAGTGGAAGAGAATATATGTAGCTCAAGGTTGAACTGTAGAGTTCTTCATGCTCAGAATCTTGGCTGTTGGCTTGCAGATATTTTATTACCCAACCTCATCAGTGTATGATGTTACCTACAGTATAGGTTTTATGACATTGTATGATGTAAAAAGTCTAGACTATATGCCCAAGTTGGTTTAGGGAAAAGAAAAATGACACCCAACTAGTTGCTTCATGAATTAACCTGAGCATCTACTCAAGTGAGTATTTTCTCTTCTTTTATTATTTTTCTAGGATGAATGGTTGACGAAATTCTCACAGAGAAGGAGTGAATTGATTAAAATTACAAATGTGCATGAGAAATAAAGTTTTTAAAATAACCGGGATAAATGTACAATCAACCAAGTTTTTCATAAATTCCTACGTGAACAATTGGATGCCAGTTTAATAATAGTAGTAAGGATAAGGATAAGGGTAATTTAAACTTGTTAATAAATTATTTTATTAACTTATTAGAAAGCTTTCCAATTCTATATCTGTACAGAATAAGGAAGATGACCTTGATGGGGCTATGCAAGATCCATGGCTAGGGCAATGAGGGGTAAAAAATATTTTAAGTCTACAACAGACAGGTAACATTCAGAAGCCTCTCAGACAGATGTCTCCCTAATTCACTGAACAATAATAAGGAGGAGGAGGTCCAGCACAATCAGGCTTGCAAGATTCTGTTATGAAAGCCAATCTCAATACAAATAGTTTTAGCCTCCTACGGAGTTGATTTCTTGATCTGGTCTACCTAGTGGGGCTGACATTACCTAATAAAGATTCATGGTTTTAAATCGATTAACATATCTTGGTCAATACAACAAACTTTCTTCTGGTTAAATATTCCATATTGTACAATATGAGATTCAGTGAACATGAATTTCAACTGAATGTGAAATCATCATCATCATCATTGCTCAACTGAAATACTAGATAGAAGTTCCCTTAGAAACACATTCACGCAACTGAGTGATACTATTTCCAATGTAAAGCCATGAGAATCATATGCAGTCAAATGAATGATCAAATCTCAAAAATGAACTCCGTTCCTTGCATGTTTATTGCTGAATTGTAGGTCTACGTTTCCAGCATCTCATAATTATAAAAAAGAGCAGTTATTAGAAAAACTCCCAAGTATTGAAACAAAAGGAAATCTGAAAACCTTTTAAAAATCACAACGAATTGCTAATGTTGAAATGGAAGCCATCATTCCATCCCTCTTACTCTGCTAAATGAGAATGACAATATTCTCATTTTCAATAGCATGCCTACATCTATTAAGGGGCTATAAAAGAGAATTTGGGGAATTGAAAATGGGAGCTGATATTTATTTTCATGAATATAACCATGAACCGGGAATTTAAGGGAGATTATTAAGATCTGTACTATATCAGCAGGATTTAGTTCCTATGAAAATCAAGTTGCAATTGAAATTTGACCCATTGATTTCAAAGGAAATGAACTGCAAGGTTTGGGAAATGGAGGGAAGGCTTTTAGCTGCCCTTGTATACATCATACATTGTAGACAATATTCTTGTGAGCTTCTCTCACTTTTTCTCTCTCCATATAGATTGCCAGAGAGGACACTAAATCTCTCATACATGTGATAGACTCCCTTGCACTGAATGCAATCAAGAGGAGACTAGACAGTCATCTGTCAGGGATGCTTTGATCTGGATTCCTCACTGAGCAGAGAGTTGGACTTGAGGGTCCAAATGGCATCTTCCAACCTCTGAAAAGGTGCCACATAAAAGAAGGTCAAGACTTCTTCTTTCTCTATTACCCCATAGCTCACAAGATAAGGCTAATGGATTTAAGCAACAGGAAAGCAGATTCTAATTGAATGTTAGGAAAAGTGTCGTAACAGTAAGAGCAGTTAAACAGGGCAAATCTGTTAAATCTCAGGTAGACCAGACAGGAAGCATGACTAGATGAGCTAATTCTACTTTATTGTAAGGCTACATTAACAGAATCTTGCAAGTCTGAAAGTACAGACCTCCTGCGCTCCTTATTTTCTGCATGAGTAGTTGGAGTGGGTCCTTCCTAGGTTTTTCCTCTGGCCGTTACTCCTTTCCCTTTTATCTGATCATCCCCCATCTTCCAAGGTCACTGGCACATTCCATCACAAAATCAGAGAGTTGGAGGGCTCCCCTTCACTGGATGCATTCAAGAGGAGCTTAAATAGCCATGTCTTAGAGATGCTTGAATGTGGATTCTTGCACTGATCAGACCCTTTCCAAGTTGACAAGGATCAATCAAAGAAGAAACAAAAGAAGAGGCCTCACAGTTTGGTCAAAGTTTTCTTCAACCACCCCCCCTCCAATGGAGAGAGACTCATGCTGTAGAAACTATACAACAAAACTTTATGTTGCAGATTTAAAATAAAAAATAATCAACTTTATTTTTGAACAGAATTATCTTTCTGGTACAAACATATTTCACTAAAAGGCCTGGTAACCGTTGATACAACTTTTTATTCCTTCTGAACTTGGTTCTAGGACATAGGTTTGGTTTGGTTTGGCTGATGAAATGTCAAGCTGTAGAATAATAATCTCGATGAATCGAGATTATCTGATGCTGCTCAACAATTATTCTGCTCTTTGATAAATAGGCTTGGGATGGAGAACCAAACAGCTGTGGCTGAATTCATTTTACTGGGATTTCCCAGCATCCAAAAAGTAGGATTTCTGGTGTTTGTGGGTGTCTTGATGATCTATATCTTGACCATCACTGGGAACATTGTCATTGTTGCCATTGTGGCTTATGACCCTACTCTCCATAAGCCAATGTGCTTCTTCCTAAGCAACCTCTCATTCCTAGGAATCATGTATGTGTCGGCTACAATCCCTAAACTTTTGGCCAATTTACTCACCATCAAGAAATCTATCAGCCTGACTGGTTGCAAAGCTCAAGCCTTTTCCCACTTTTTCCTGGGGGCCACAGAATTCTTCCTTCTCACCGCTATGGCATATGACCGTTACATGGCCATCTGCCACCCCCTTCATTATCAGACTACCATGAGCAGCAGAGTTTGCATTCAACTGGCTTGTGGATCCTGGTTTGGTGGCCTGATGACTGTCTTGGTGCAGACAATTCTAGTCTTCCATCTTCCATTCTGTGGTCCCAATACTATCAATCACTTCTACTGTGATGTTGGACCATTGCTAAAGCTGGCTTGTACTGACACTCATCCCATTGAATGGGTAGTCTTTATTGTTGCCACTGTTGTGGTGTTCAGCAACTCCCTGTTGACAGTGGTTTCATACATCTTCATAATCTCCACTGTGATGAGAATCCCTTCAGTTTCTGGAAGGCAAAAAGCTTTTTCTACTTGTATCTCTCACTTAATAGTTGTTGTTCTGTTGTATGGGGCAATCATTTTTATATATGTCAGACCAACAGGACATGCATCATTAAATATGAACAAGGTAGTTTCCCTTTTGAATACTCTGGTTACACCATTGCTCAACCCTTTTATTTATACTCTCAGAAACAAGGAAGTAAAAAATTCTCTGAAAAAGGGGTTTACCTGGAATAAAATATTTCAGAATCACAAATAAATAAAAATGGAGTTATGATTGACTAGAGAACTGTGGATCACCATAAATCTAGTTCACCACAGCATTTCATAGATTTCTTTATAATCTGGTTTACTCCAACTTCTCAATGATTTTTTTTTAAAAGAAAGCCTAGAAAATGTCCAATTGTTCCACAGATTTTGGATATACCTTAAAAAAAATCATTTTCTCCCTTGCACAACTTAAACAAATAACTCCAACTCACACCCTTACAAATTATATTTTTTCTATGCAACATTTCCTAATTAATTTTTGTTTACTGGAATTTTCGCATTGAGCTTTATGCAACTTTATGCCATCCTGGTCTGCATATTTCATTGCTGCAACTAGAGACTTTAACAACAGGAGAATGGTTGGGCTTATGAGACAGTCCACTAGTAAGATATAAAATTCAAAAATAGTATTTGATCAACCCAAATACCTGTGTTCTTCCGATCCCCAGTTCCATCTCTAAACAGTTACTGTACATTTATAACTGATAGATATTCTGAATGAATGCTTAAGATTTTGAGTAATATATTGTTAACAGAATTGTAAACAACTTGATATGTTGTCCTACTGTAAACCTAGATGGTCTTGAGAAGATTATCTTTGTATCCCTTCCATAAAAAGTAAAAACTGAGCCATAATAGTATATGGTATTGCTTGGAAGCTACAGTCAACAGTTGAGACTGTAGCTGTTGAAATTATGAACAAAATTAATTTAAAGCAATTTTAAAAATTGGGAAATATGAGAACTTGTCTGGGATATTATTTGCAATTGGGTGATGCTGAAATTGATAGTGATGATAATGAAAGAATTACTCAGATTGCGCTACGTTATCACTCGTTCTTGCTTTCTTTAAAAGTTGAATTCAATACATGACCCAGAGAAATCAAAAAAGGAATTTATTCTTATCTACTGAAGTGTAATTACAGACTTTTGTAAGAAAAGAGTAAGCAGTTTTTATCCTGGCATTGGCAAGAAATGGCTTCATCTCATTCCAGTGTTGTTAAGATGCTTTTCAGATGTATTCCTGTTTTAAATCTGTTTTCCATGGTGTTGACTATTCTTCCTACCTTTGCATTGTCTGCACATTTCATAAGCAACTCTTCTACATGATGATAACAGTGATTTACAAACCTGTTGAATAATTCACTCTATTTTCTCAAGTCTTCTACAAAAGTGGCCTTTTCAGATCCCATCATGGGCATATGTGACACTAACAGTCGATGCCATTTTCTCTTTGGTGGGGTCTGTGGCGTAGAACAAACATGTCGAGGCTTACCACATTTTAGGAAAGAGTTCAAAACAGATGTGGTTAAAGTTTTAGAGGGTTTCCACCCACCCCCTTCTGCTGACTATGTGATTTTAAGGTTTATATTTTTGTTAGTTACTCAAAGTCATGTGGGAGACAGCAGGATATAAATCTTAAAAATTAATAAATACCGCTCTCTTTTCTTGTTAGACTTCTCTTCTGCCTTTTCTCCAAGAACTCAAGATGGCTTCTGTGGGGATCCCCTTAAGTTTATCCTCATAACACCACCATGTTATGTAGGTTGGTCTGAGAGAAGTACAAAGTTACCTAAGAAGATTCAAGATAAACTTGAACTTCTAAACCAATATGTTAACCACTGCACTGTTCTGTTTTTGTTCTATAACGGCATTGTGCAAAACAGAATTTGGGTTGTTTTCATTGCTGGTCCACCTCTGTGAGAATACACTCAAGTTGTATCTGAACAGTTTAATGTGCTAAAAATGCACACCCGGCTCTTATTTTCTTGTTGTGTTTTTCAATTTAAACAACAACTTAAAATGGGCAGACATTTTCAAGTATGGTTTCCAATCTGTAATTCCTGGGCAAAAAAGAATTCAAATGATTATTTTCTCCCAGTGTTCTTATATATATTTGTTCTCCACTGTATTGATTAGAGTTCATTTAACAGAACATCTAGAAGCTGCAACCGGTGCAAAATGCAGTGGCGTAGGCAGTTATGTGCACTCCTAGATCAGCGTATGCGACACCTCTGTTTCGTGAGCTGCATGGGTTGACAGATGATTTGGTTGCCACTTGTTTCTGGGTTCAGTTCAAGGTGCTGGCAATGACCTATAAAGTCCTACATGGCATGGGGCCAGGTTACTTGAGGGACTGCCTCTGCCCAGTTTCATCTAACCATTCCGTCAGGTCCAGCATCCCATCCATTTAGGAGTGTCATCTGACAGGACCCAGGAGGAGAGCCTTTTCTATCACACCACCTGCCCTTTGGAACATCATCCCCCCTGTGATTAGATTGGTCTTCTGGAAGATCCTCAAGACATGGCTTTGCCTTTGTGCCTGGGGATCTGGTGGTGGTACGGAGGTTGCGAAATAGTTTCACCATTGTAAGATGGATGACGCTCTCCTACAGATTGTTTTTTAGGGTTTTAATGGATATTAATTGTTCTGACGTGTTTTGATGGTGTTTTTTTTTTTTTTCTGTTATTGGTTGGTTATTTATTTGTAAATTTTTTTGGGGGGGGGTGATTTTTAACTGTGTGAGCTGCCCAGAGTCATGTACTGTATGTGAGTTGGACAAGTATACAAATTGAACAAATAAATAAAGCATTGCTGTCTCAGTCTACTTTACTACTGAACAGAAAAAATAATATTGTGGAAATGCTTGAGAGAGTTTCCAGTCTTCACTCCATGAAGAAAGTATAAATTGGTAGGAACAGGACTGCTGAAGTTTCATAATATTTTTGTATGGAGCTCTTTAGAAAAATGTAATCTAGGGCCACTCTAATCCAAGGCCTGGGGAAGGAAGCAGGTTTTCAGAGCTCTTTCGAACATGGCCAGGGTGGGGATTAGACCCATCTTGAGTGGGCTGATATTCCAGAAGATAGGTGTTGTGACAGAAAAGGCATGCTTCCTAGGGCCTATCTGGCATCACTGCTCAATGGATGAGATCTAGAGTATGCCAACTCTGCCCAAATGTACAGGCTGGACAGATGCTTCAGAAAACAGACAGCCCTTTAAACAAAAAGACCTTATGCTATGAAGGCTCTGTAGGTAATAATCAGCAACTTTATTGCACTCAGGAGCCTATTGCTAACCAGTTCATGGAGGAAAAGTGTCACAAGGGCCTGATGAGATCCTCCTAATCTGTTGCTAGAAACTCTCACATCATCTCTGCAACTAGAGGCTGTATAAATTTTTGTGATTTCTTTCATAACTTTTAATATGTATTCAGATGTCAATCTGCATTTTGGGAATCCCGCTTTACAATTAGAATCATAAAGATGTTAATGTGTACTTATTTTCAACCACCTTAACTTCATAAATTTAAATCCAGTACAAGAAATTAACATTAGAATCCCCTCTCCACCCAATGTTGCACCAACCCTGCAGAATAGTTTCTATATTTGCTTTCTTCCCCAACTTAGTCTGCCCTGGATTTATGTTTTCTTTGGAGTAAGCTTCAGGTATTAAATCACTTCAATAAAAGTGAATGGGTATTCAAGAGAATATATCTAACCAGATAGACAGAGACCTGGCTCTCAAAGGCTTATCAGGAAGTTAAATCAGAAGGTCTACTCTAAGCATCAGTTTCACACACAGGCCCACAAATCTATGTGACATTTCAGAAAATCCAACTGTCTTTAGCTATCATTTGGAACTGAAGAGCCAAGTTGAATCAAACCCAATTTCTGATCAAATTAAATTAATCCACATTTGATCAAGAAACCACACTGAACCAAAGATTCCATTCTCATTGCAGCCAATGGGGAAACAATAGTCATTTGGGTGATGTGTTGGTACATGTTAGACAGAGGCTTTGTATTATTCATCATATGTCCTTCACTATTGCTATTCCATTGGTGGGTCTCTTCATCCCATTCTGAATATATGCTAATATACATTCACGGCCTTTCTTCTGCCAACAGAAAACTGTTTATAAGACTCCTATAAGAGATCCAACATTGTATAAGCGTCGAATGTGAATCAAAATATTTCATTAATATTTCATTAACTAATCTTTATTATGGGGCGTTTGATCCCCATCTACATGAACATCTTGAGGAAGGAATGATGCCGTACTAGGAGGTGTTGGGAGTGATCGAAGATGCAACCTTCCCATGTTCTACACATGTGAATCTTTTCAGAGCAATTTTATATATATAATATATTCTGGATCAAGACCTACTCCATTAATGATCATTAAAAGAAGGAAAAATAAACACCTTTCTACTTTATGCTAAGGGACAAAATAATTGCACTCTTAGGATGCATAAAGGCAGAATATGGGTGGAAGAATAATAGCCCTAAACTCTTCTTTTCAATATTCTGTCTTTAAAGATTTGTTTGATGTGTCTCTAAAAGTACCGTTAGATTCCTCAGAGAGACATCATTCCAGCAGAAGACTGCAGAGACTTTTTTCTTCATCAGGAACAGATGACCATGTTGAAAACACTCTATTCCTTTATCAATTTTGCCAATATTCATGAGAAGATGCTTCCTTATTAAAAATCATTCCCATGGGAAATCAGGGTCAATTGCTTTCTTACAAAATATTCCACTGTTAATGTTAGGAGAATTGGGGAACAACAGATTATCCTCATGAGAAATATTTGCAGTAGAGATAAAAGAATGGCTTTGAACATCAAAGAGAATAAATTAACCATTCAAAATCCATAGCAAATGCTACTTTCTCCAGTCTACCAACAGTGGCTGAATCTTTCATTAGAAGCTTTCTAATGCAATAAGAGAAGGATGTGTTGAAAGGAAAACTTACACCGAGAATAAGAGGTCTTGAGACCCTGTCAGATGAGCTGTTGGGTTTGTTGCTGCTGTACTGGCCTCCCTGCTCTGGAATGACATCTCTCCCTGAGCTGCTTGACTCCATCACGGAACTGGCAGTGCAAACTCCAAATCTGATAGTCCTAGGAGACCTTAACTTGCCCTTGGTTGATGTAGAGTCTGCTGTAGGTGAGACGGTCATGGCCTCTATGGCTACCACAGACC